TTTTCGCCTGTTGTTTTTTTCTGGGGGGGGAAATGGAATTTTGGGGGGAAACTTTACATCTTTAAATGTCATTGTTGTCGTTTTATTTCGTTTGATCTGGGTCTTGCTTTTCTCCCAAAGCCTTGGGGCTGAGGGGCACAACCAGGGAGGGTGGGTGAACATAATATATGCTTTATAATGTTAAAAATTTAGTTTACACGGTAAGGAGGCTGGGATCAGGCTGGCAAAAATCATAGAAAAGTCCACGAAAGCTCACAAGAAAATATAACAGTCTTGAAGGTCCCACAACGTTTTTGCCTTGTTTGTTTGTATGTTGTTTTTTTGGGGAGGTTGGGCTGACATTCAGTGATTTATTTATTTGAAATATATTTACCCCATGCTTTCTCCTGAAAAGGACCCAAAGCGCTTTACAACAATTAAAAACCAATATTTAAAAGCTAAAAAGAGTAAGTATAGATTTTTTAAAAACATAGCATTATATTTAAAATTGTCAATAATATAAATACTAAAAGCTTCTTTAAAAACAACAGACCACAAAAAAGACGTGATTAGTTGCCCTCTGCTGTCATTTGCTCCCTGTTGTTGTTATGTCATGGTTTTGCAATATGCAGGCTAACACTATACTGCAACATCCATCATCCCCAGCCAAGGGTGTGGAATTTGGGGCGTTGCATCCCAACTGATGGGCTGGACAGGATTTTGATCTGATCCAGAACTGCTTTTCTTCCACTCTTACAGCTAAATCCAATTTGAGTAAATTCTTTAGAGGGAATGTATTCATTCCTTCAGCTATATTTTTACCCCATCACTCTACTAGTAAAGGCCCCCATCATTGAAAGACAGCATATCAAACAAGACAGTAAGTATGCAAATACTGAAAAGATCAAACAAATACCACATTAAATGACAGTAGGCTAAGGCAACACCAAAAACACATTCAAAGGCAGTAAGGCACAAGAGTCCATTTAAAAACCCCACTCAGGCCACGAGACATCAAGTGAATAAATGGGACATTAATTAGTTGTAACCTAAGTTCCGCTGAGTTCGGTGGGTCTTCAGTGAGTGGGGTTCGCTGTGGTTTTGTTTCATCTGGTACCCAAAAACGAATCCATGGGATTCTGCAATTTCTTAAAAATCTACGCTGATTCACCCAGCCCCCAACCTTGTCCTCAAAGACTGTTGGGGGGGGGTGGCTGTTCTCTTGCAGGGAGCTCAAGAGGGCAGGATGCCGCACAAGATTGGGTTTATTGTTCTAAGTTCATCCGGACATGAGGACGGCTACAGTGCGAACGAGCTGATGGTCCATGCGCCGACTGTCAAGGGATGGAGGTCCCCAAGGTACAGGAAAAGAATAAGATATCCGTAAGCCTTTGGCCTGAGCTAAATGTTTTAAGGATTATGGGCTGCATGAGCTTCTAAAAGACTGTCAGGCAGGACCTTGCTAGAATCCAGAGATCATCGTCATTGTGTGTTTGTTTTTAATAATAATTGTAAAGCCTATTTGGTCTTATTTTTAAATTTTATTCTGTGACGTCTATCTTGCTGATTGCTGCCATCTTGGTTTTTAGATCCATTGCCCTTTTATATTCTACTTCTTTATTTTATTGTTATTTTTTGAATTCGTTGTAACCTTTCTAATCTGCGATCGGGGGCAGGCTAACCACCTTAGGGAGCAAATTCCTGATTTGTTCACCTCCAGGCTCTGCCAATATCCCCAAGAAATAGTCCTGCAGATGGTGGAACCCTGCAGAATTCGAAAACTCCAGCTGCTGGCCCACCAGTACATGATCTCCAGCAAAATTGAGTTCTACATCAGCGACCACCTGCCTGAATACTTTGCTCCTTACAAGTCGGAGAGGTTCCGAAGGCTGGGGTAAGCCTACAGATGTACCACGGTCTGGCTCCCCGTTCTCTTGATACAAACAGGCAGGTGTTGTTTTTTTTTAATTGTGTTCCTGATTACATGGTGAGCAAGCTTCTGTGATCCTGAATGGGCCAGTAGCTCCTCCACAAAATGAGGATTCCAAATGCATTAGCAGAATCGTCATTTTGTGGAACCAAGAGAATCACCAGATCGCTAGTCCGTTTCAGGGTGTACTGCTTGGGGCTTTTCCTTCCGAGTGGCTCCCTGAGAACACTGGCCTTCCTTTCGCTGCCGTGACTCCGTCCTGTGGATTCCTGGAACATGTGAGGTTGACGAGGTGCTTTGGATGCTGTGCTAGAAGCTGCTTCCTTTCCCTGGCCTGCAGCCAAGAATTCAGATTATCTCACTAGACTGCAAATCCTAAAGTTCCCTGGCATGGGGCCACGGCAGCTAAAGTGGCACGTAATCACTGCCAACATGAAGGGCCCATACTCTTTTAGTTCACGATTGACATTCCACGGGGAGGAGACCTCCGCGTCCAGTGTAAGGGGCTGTTGTGGAATTCCCTTGGTATAAAGAAGTATTGTAGCAGAGCAGACCTTTTCTCTTTGCCCCAAGCAGAAGTCTCATCTCTAGACATCATGCATTATTATATAGGTTGCCATCCAGAGGAGGGGAGCAGGATCTGTTCTCCATCCTCCCAGAGTGCAGGACATGTAATAAGGGGCTCAAGCCACAGGAAGCCAGATTTCAGCTGCATGTCAGGGAAACATTCATATATATATAGATAGATATAGATATAGATATATGCTTTAAAATATTTTTTAAATTTAATATACGTGATACTTACACCAATAGTAAAAGGAAAGGTAATGCTTTAAATTTAATAATACCAGTTGCTCGCAGCTAATGTTGGCCTCTTTTTCCTCTCCCTTCTACAGTTATATCTCCCTCTCGAACAACGAGAAGACCAGCTACAAAGCCCGAGAGCTGAAATCTGTCTACGTGGATGCCGTCGGCCAATATTTGAAGTTGACGTTCCAGAAAAACTACATAAATCACTACAACGTCTACAATCAGGTAGAAGGAATGCAGATTTTTCCTTCTTGTTTCGTTGATCGGTCTGAGGGTTCTCCAACTCGGGTTGACCACCTTGACCAGCTGGCAGCGAAGCCATCGCTTCCTTGCGGCACCATAAAGTTGATAAAAGTCGTGAGACTCTGAGCTTTCTGTCTGCTCTGGAGAAAGCCCCTTAGATGACTGAGTCATCTTCCCGTGCCAGAGGGTCACGCCTGCCTGGAACTAGTCTGGAGAGCCCTGGCCGTCAGCTTGGGCTCGAGGGACCGGCTCAGGACACGGCAGCCGCCTGAGCTGGTGAAAGCCTTGGGATCCGAACTTTCAGATCCCCTGGAGAAACTGAGACACCCCTATGTCTGCGGTGGATGGGTTCCAAGCCTCCTGGGCAGATGCTGAAAAACACTAATTATAGTGAATGCTATGTTAATAGTAGATGCTGTGCAGTAGCACCCCTAGAGCCACAGGGAATTGGTTCCAAGCCCCCTCTTGTAGATGCTTAAAGCCGCGGATAATGGGGAATGCTGTACATACCATGGTAAATTGGGGGGGGGAATCCTGGGGAAAAATATTTTCACCATGTGTAGAACTGGCTGCTAGAGGGAGCCCAAGACCATACTATTTATTCAACAGCATGAGTAAAGAGTGTGGTCTCTGGCTTCCCCTAGAGCCCAGTTTTGGTAAATGCATGGTGAAAATACATATTTTTAGGGTTTTTTCTTTTAACGTTTTTAATGTTGAGACTGGAGATAAGTGAATCGGCAGATACTGATCCTGCAGATGTGGGAGTCCTGCTGTCATATGGAATAGTAGAATTAAATAAAAGAAACAAAACTCAGCTGTGCAAAAAGCCTTCTCTCTCTCTCTCTCTCTCTCTCTCTCTCTCTCTCTCTCTCTTTCTTTTTCTTCCTCCATGCCTTCCTCCCTTCTCTCTTTTTGTTTTGGGTTCTAACTTGTTTTGTTTTCTGTTATAATTTCTTTTCTTTTTTCTCTCCCTCTTCCAGGTTGCACTCGTAGCAATAAACATCATCGGGGAACCTGCAGACCTCAACAGCGACAGCAGCCATGTAAGTGTGCCGAACAACGGGATAGGGGGAACTTGGAGAATGACCTGTTTGGCTCCCCCCTGTTCAACAAAAGAGAGGTTCCAGGCATCAGGTTTTGATTCTGGGGTTTCGGTTCTGATCCTAGTTTGGTGGACAAAAGCGGGTGCCGTGGCTGGCCTGTTTCAGAACTCTTGGGGGGCAGAGAGAGGAAAGTGCACAAACACTTATGCACGTGAACACACGGGGAGATGCTACATAATCCCTTGCGTGAAAAGCTGCTCTTTTGAGCCTCGATTCCCAACACCCCACAGCTGGGAGATTCTGAGATTTGCCCAAAGGAGACCTTTTCTTTCTTCTGTACAAGACTCCCTCCTCCTGCAGAGTGGCTTATTTGTGGTGAAGAAGACTCAAGCAGAGTCTGGCTTGCTGTGGCCGACTTGATTAGGTGTGTGTGTGTGTGTGTGAGAGAGAGAGAGAGAGAGAGGGAGGGAGGGAGAGAGAGGGAGAGAGAGGGATGTGCCATCAAGGAGGATTATGAAGTAGAGAACACAAGCTCTACTCTTTGAACTGGCCATTTTTGTTTCATATAGGTCACTGCCCACTCCTGCACCACTTAATGTTCATTTTTTAAAAATTGGAATCTGTTTCCAGATTTAATTATATGTGTTTTGGGTGGGGTGTGAGGATCCCGGAGGGTGCAACCTTTTGCTCCTGGCTCCAGCTTTTCAGAGTCCCCTGGACTGCAAAGAGAACAAACCTATCCATTCTGAAGGAAATCAACCCTGAGTGCTCACTGGAAGGACAGATCCCTGAAGCTGAGGCTCCAATACTTTGGCCATCTCATGAGAAGAGAAGATCCCCTGGAAAAGACCCTGATGTTACGAAAGTGTGAAGGCAGGAGAAGGGGATGACAGAGGACGAGATGGTTGGACAGTGTCATTGAAGTGACCAACATGAATTTGACCTAACTCCGGGAGGCAGTGGAAGACAGGAGGGCCTGGCATGCTCTGGTCCATGGGGTCACCAAGAGTCGGACACGACTAAACAACAACTGAGTGAAAAGAGGTGGCGCCAGCGTGCTGTCCTTTTGGCCAAGAGGTATAGAAGACCTCAGTGGAACTCCAGCCATTCCTGGAACAAAGGGGCTGACGTGCGCCCGCCCTGGGGCCTCCCTCACCCTCCAGTGGGTTTCTTCTTTGCTGACCTGAACACGCCGGCAGTGAACCGAGCACGCTCTGTGAAAAGAGGCCCAGAACCATCTGCTGTCTGCAGCGCTTTTGAGAGAGGCCCACTCATCTGGAAAGAGATTTAGAGATACAAAAAAAGCTGAAACTGCAGTCTGTTTTTATTAATTGAAACATTCTCCCTTCTTTTCTTGATCTTACAAAGACTTCACGAGAGAAGCTGATCGACCATTACCTTGGGAACAACCCAGACAATTCAGCCCTAGATGGAACCTACTCTGGGTAAGGATGTCGAGGGGGTGGCATATGGTCCCTGCCCTTCACACGCATATATTTTGGGTGTCCTTCCGTGTCCCAATAGGTTTTTCCTATTTGCTATGTGTGAAAAGCACTTCCCAAATAGCTGTTGTCTCTCTCCGCACCTCAGAAAGCACGACTTGATATCACCGCTGGATGATTTGGCATTTGACATGTACCAACACCCCGAAGTGGCCCAGATTATCCGTAAACTGGATGAGAGAAAGCAGAAAGCAGTGCAGCAGGAGCATTATGATCACGCTAAGAAACTCAAGCAAGCCATCGCGGACCTGCAGAAGGTAAGGCCGGAGGGTGCCGGCGAACGGGGCTTTGCCCTGCTCTGTATGGCAGAGGCTTGGAGACATTGGCAAGCCCACTTGCTGGTTCCCTGTTGCAGGAGACTCTCGGGGCGTCTAGAAAGCCGCCCTTCCTGGCTGAAAGGATGGTGGAGCAAGACCACCCCCACCGAGTCTTTCGAAGCGGCTGCGTACTCAGTACTGCCCTGGTTCCAGAGCTGGCCAATGAGGGCATCGTCCACTTCAAAGCCAGCCGGGCTCTCTGAGTGTCCCCTGCTTGGACGATGGTGGGCAGAAGTGGAGAACACAGCATCAGCCCCGTGACTCTTGCTGGTTTTCCACACTTGCAACCTTCGTGGAAGTGCCTTTGTCTCGCTGGCCACAGTGAGGCACTGGCTCCTTCACTCTCCTGCCTCTTTGCCCGGCTCAAGTTGGGCACTTGGATTATTGCATCTCCGTTGCAGAACACACTGCTCTGTAACAATGCCCAGACAAGGTAGTCTACTTAGTGCGGAGCAGAAACCACCATGTTTGGGGGTATCTACAAGAGATCTAGAAGAAATCTAAGAGCAGCAAGGTTGGAAGGGATCCTGTAGATCCTCCAGTCCATCCCCTGTCGAGGAGGCCCAGTGGGGGGGAATCGCACTCCAGACCTCTGGCTCTGAAGCCAGATGCCTAAGCCAGGGAGCTATGGAAGGTTTTGTGGACCAGATAAGGATCTGTGTTTGCATACCCGCATACTGGATTAGAATGTAGGGCGGAATTTAAAATCTGGGAGGTCTAAGGGGTGGAGAATCGTCCTTGGAGGGTCCGTAGGTAGCCAATGGACCACGTGGCTCCAACCCCCGAGTCGGATCTGGGAGAGAAAGAGGTTGCATTTATTCATTAAGCTGGCTGTTGACAAGGCCAGAGGAGAACCGAGGGGCAGCGGCCAAAAGCCCTGGTCCCTCTTGGCTCCTTCCACATGGTTGATCATCTTCCCCTGCCAAGAGGGGGGGGGTCGGGATTCTGAACAGGAGGCCACTCTCAACTGTCTTCCTCTCCCCACCATTTCTGGATCATCTCCAGCCTCTCCAGAGGTGTGCCGCGCGTTGAGAAAGTCCCCTTTCCCGGCTTCCGCGGCGATCTCCGGAGCTCTCCTCTGGGGAGTTTAAGCCGCCTCCTTTCCCCTTCCGTTAAGAGAAGGGACGCTAATAAAGCGGAACGAACCTTTCAGGTCGGGGAGAGGCTGGGCCGCTACGAGGTGGAGAAGCGCTGTGCCGTAGAGAGGGAGGACTACGACCTCGCCAAGCAAAAGAAGCAGCAGATGGAGGACTACCGCCGGCAAGTGTACCAGCAGCTGGAGCTCCACAACCTCCTCGACGAGGACCTGGCGGTGGGTGATGCCTTTTGGCCTGTGGTTTTCTAAGATGGTTTCAAAAAGCAACGCAAAAGGTGCCGCTTGTCTGCCACCCCATTGTAAAAGCGCCCTCTGGGTGGTTTGCCACATAATCGTGCAGGCTACACATTCCCTCCCCCTACACACACACACACATCCTGCCCCAGCAAGGTGGGGACTCGGTTTACTGACCTCGGAAGGAGGAAAGACTGAGGCAACCTCGAGCCGGCAACCTGAACCCCTTGGGCTTGAACTCAGGTCTTGAGCGGAGGCTTCACTGTCGTACTGCAGTTTAACCCCTGTGCCAGGAGGAAGAACAGCATTCTCATGCTGTTACCCAGGATGGGGGGTCCAAACTTCTGCTTCTCTGTAGAGATCAAGAAGATTCCAGTTGAGCTGGCATCACTCCGGGGGGGGGAGGGGGGAGTGGTGGCTTCTAGCA